ATTTGCAGTTTCTAATAGACGATTTAGATGTGGTGTTGTTCTCTCAGTTGAGCTAGAGGGGTTGGTTTAAATGTGGATGGACCTTTCATTGTCTAGCCAAGACACAGCACACCTTCCATCTCACAGCACCTTGAACACGAATCCTTCTTGTGATGATCATAATAATAATAATAATCGAGAGGGAGAGAGATCAGTCTGACTAAAATAGTTTCTAGGTATTCTAGGTTTAATAAATATGCCTAGGACTAAGCGATACTCAGGCGGAACAATGTTAACTGATATAGGAGTGGATTGAAAGATAATAGTAATAATAATAATATTACTATTATTATCCTGATAAATTAGTCAGAAAGTACATAGGGAAATGTAAAAATAAAATAAATAATGATAGTAGTGATAATAATAACAATAATAATAGTAAGTCTTCAGCATACAGCTCTCTTTAGTACAAAAGCAAAACAACAAAAAAAGGGAACACCGATTTAACTGAAGAGAGAGAAACAGAGAGAAGGAGAGATGTATACGCATATATATACAAAGTAGCTTACCGACTATCCCATAAAACAATCTGTCCAGAATACGTTCCAGCCACGACAATATTTGGATGGAAACGTGATAAACTCGCTGAAGTGACAGCTGATTGACAATGGAATATATGCGCTGGTGTCTTTAGCTTTGGATACTTGATATTCCATACGAGACATACACCCTCTGGTTCATGGGCATTTTGTTCATTGGAATTATACGCTGCAAGGCATAGCTCGGGGAATATGGTTGACCAATCCAAATCGGTGACTTTACGATTTTTAGACCATCGATCGTCGAAAAACTCTAGTGATACAGTGATCAATTCATCAGATCTAGTGAAAGCAGACAGAAAAAATTATATTTACAAAACAAAACAAAAAGAGAAACCATATCCAGTAAATTAGGGATTAACTGCACCCGGAGCAAAAAAAGAAAACGGGACTAATGGAGCCAAGATGAAATGTTTGATTCCCTGCTGCTCAATTACACTGTATCTTTAAAACCACTCCTCTTCTGCGTTCGGAAGTAAAAAACAAACTGCCTAATTTCGCCTCTTCCATGTGTATATACCAATTTAACTGCTCCTGTGGAGAGAGTTACATAGGCCGTACAATTAGGCGTGTTTCTCGTCGAATCTCAGAACATCACCCTGCCTGGTTAAGCAAAGGACAAACAAAATCTATTCCCACCGCTGCTATTCTATCTCACTCATCATCTATCTTGTAGATACAAAACACAAGACTGATTGATGTTAACCAGGTGGCTTTCACGGTCATTTACCGAATACTAACTAACAAATCTCAATTTCGCCTTAACAGTTCGACTACTAAATATTGCTGAGGCTGGCTGGCTGGCCGTGTTGGGATCCATATTAACAAGTCTAATTTCTGCATCCAAAAGAAGTTGGTTGGCTCAGATATTATCCCAACCGGCCTGGCCATGTAGGTTTGAATGATCGATCCTGAATTTTTGTGGAAGTTTCCTAATTTTAGTTGATATTCCACCTGCTACTTATCTTCATTATTATAATCATAATTTAAGCATCTTTAATGAACTGTGCTGATTCCATTGTGATCTTACTTTACAAATCGATATTACTATTTAAAAAGCACACTAATATTGTTATTGACTACTAATCTAGAATATTCTATGTATATAAACATGCATATATGGATATAATTATAGAGCGAGAAGAGGAGGAATTTATCGAAAAGGATATTCTTTGCCGGCTCAATTATATTTTGTGTTTTATAGTTAGATGTGGGAATGAATATTTTCGCTATATCTAATTTGTAGCAAAATAAACTTGTCACGCTAGTGACACAGTGATCAATTCATCAGATCTAGTGAAAGCAGAAAAGAAAATATATTTACAAAACAAAAAAAGGAGAAACCATATCCAGTAAATTAGGGATTAACTTTACCCGGAGCAAAAAGTTTAACTTCATCATAGATATGCTGCTAATATAAGTATCCTTAACTGAACTTAACGACTTAGGTGTCGATTTGTTACCAGGGAATATAGTCTTATGGACTTAGAATATGCAGACGACATAGTCCTGTTAGGGGAGGATGCTGACAAAATCCACCAGAGTCTTCTGAACACCTTGAGCTGCAGCAATCTTCGTATGTTTAGCATGCGATTCGCCCCTGAAAAATGTAAGATGCTGCTACAGGACTGGACTACGTCAACTGCTAGCTTAGTAGTCATAGGGAGTGAAGTGATAGAACATGTTGACCACTTCACCTATTTGGGAAGTTGTATCAGCACCAACGGATTGATTGGCAGCGAAATCTCAGCACGGATCCGATCCAAAAAGCTCGAGTATGAAATATGAATACTGGTAGAGATGGTGGTAATAGTGCATCCTTTTTTTGCTTTATGAGAAGATACTCAGAAGACTTGAAGTGTGGTTTTTTATCTCTCACACATAGTAAGTCTAATAAAAACAAACAAACACATATATATAATTCCTAGAGGAACATAGGGCTTCAGCCGTGCATCTCCATTGCGTTCGGTTCTCTGCTAGAGTCTTTACCTGTCTGTTTTTGTTTGTTTTTTCTTGTTCGGTGTGTCTCAGTAGCATATTTATCACTTCTTTCCTGTGACACGGCAGCAGGAATCGCGGTCGTTGTTAATCCGAGCCCCGACCGATCCGGCATGATACTTTGTGATTTACTTTGAGGCATAGCATTGGGTTGGGCAACTGCTTTTTGTCTAACCGCTATCCAAACAACCTTTCTAGCATGGTAGGACCTCAAGCGACATAAGTCTTAGCCAGTATAGCTTGTTGGGTCATTGCGGTGTTCAAGCCCGACCACCACGTCAAGGTAGCAGTTTTCGGTCGGGCTGAAATACAATTAATTCTTCTTGTTCTCTAAGTCTATTTGTGTTTTTGTTTGATTGAAGAGATGCAAGAATCATGTAGGCGTAAAATTTGGTGGTGTCTTCGCATTTTACTACACAAGTGATAATATTCTTGCATTTCCGCATACTCCCCGGGTTTTTTTTTCAGCGCTTCAGTCTAAGGGTAGATGGAGGAGCTCGTTAACTTGTGTGGATTTTTCAGGTAATTTTTGATCCATTGATATAAGAATAAAACTTGTGCACTGTGGTAGAGAGTAATTTCACTATGGGTAAATTTTGTTTTGATTAAGTCTCACAGTGTTATACAGTAATATTTACTGATGACGTTTAGAGCACAATTTATTGCTCATAATCATATCAAGTTAATCACACGACTTCCTAAATTCATTCATATAGTCTCATTGTTTTTCACTTGATCTTCATTTGATTTGATTGGTAGTAATATTTTCCATATTTCGGGAATGAGTGATGAATCATTTCTATTGCATGTGTTGGGTGTTGATTCGATGAACCAGGCAGGATTCAGTAATCAACCTCTCTCCATTCCCACCTACCTAGATTACTTTTTAGAATTTTAACCCTCTCCCACCATGTTATTGTTTGGTTGTGTGTTAATGCACGCAGTGCAATTGTTGAGCTTACTTATCTTCTAGGGGTCAACCATTCTTACCTTGGCTAAATTCTTATGTTGTGACAATCTGACTACCCCTGACCTACTAGTTTGGCGTATATAGTTGACCTAACTCACAGTCATTGCATGGTATTTTGTAAATTATATTATTTTGTCTAATTGGGTCAACCGACAGGGTTCTTTAACCTACAGAGCTTGTCCTACCTGAGTGAGTTTTTAGGTTTAAATGTCACCCTATATAAATGAATTTAGGAAGTCGTGTGATTAACTTGATATGATTGTGAGCAGTAATAAATTGTGCTCGATACGTCATCAGTAAACATTACTGTATAACAACACTGTGAGACTTTATCAAAGACAGGGATAGCCTGGACCGACGTGAAGAACCCAAAAAGACCTGGATTTCGCAGATGATTTATGTTTGATTTCACACAAAATGGAAGACTTGCTTACAAGCGAAAACCGACAAACTGGTCGAAGAAGCAGCAAAGACAGGACTACAGGTGAACAAAGACAAGACGGAGGTTATGAAAGTAACCAACCAGCTCCAATCACCATCAACGAGAGGGGCTTGAAAGAAGTTACTTCATTCACTTATCTAGCTAGGGAGCACTGTCTCAACTACAGGAGGAACGGACGAGGAGGTATAATCGAGAATCGGGAAGGCGAGAAACACATTCATCAACCTGAAACCAATCTGGAAATCTTCCGCTGTCACTTAGCAACACTCAACAACAAAATTCGGATTTTCAATACAAACGTCAAGTCAGTCAGTTCTTCTTTACGTGGGGATGAGAAACTTGGCGGTGGGTCACAAAGAATATTTCCAACAGCCTGTTGCAGACCTTTATCAACAACAACAACAACTGTCTTCTGTAGTATCATACTGAAGATCAGATGGCCGGAAAGAACAAGAACCAACAAGAAACTATGGGAACAAACAAACAAAACAAGAACCAATCGCTCAACAAATGTGCAGGAGAAAGAAGTGTAGATGGATTGGACACTCGCTGAGGAGGCCGCTGGGTGACATCGCGCGTCAGGCCATCGCTCGAGTGGAACCTGAAAGGGAAGCGGCGAGTAGTGTGACGTCCAAGGGTGACATGGAGGAAATCTTGTGAAGAGGAGCTGAAATAGTATGGACTAACATGGATGCAGGTGAAATGTACAGCAGAAGACAGAAGCGAGTGGAGACGTGTAGTTGAAGCCCTATGTTCCACTAGGAACCCAATGGAACTATAATGCAATTATAATAAATAATTTCGCTGAGATTTTACAAATTTAATGATTTTTATTTTTCACAAATGTGTCTACTTCTCACTCGGCGCCCACTTATAGTTTGCAACTATATTCCGTCAAATCTTGACGACAGACAGTTCATTTAATGATTACAGTGTGTTCGTTTGTTTGTTTTAGTTATTGATTAATTGTAAACTCATTATTCCCTATTATTTCTTAACACTTCCCTTTCAGAGATTCATCTCCCTGATGGTGTAGAAGTTTATTCATACAATCTAAAATCATTGGCATTGGTTTATGGTAAAACATATCTAGTAAGTGTGTTTGCATTCATTTATTTATTTATAATGTATTGTATAGTTTTTAGGTGTGTTTCTATACAGTTTTGCATCATTAAGTGTTGAAGTCGTTGTGTTTTGTTCACCCATTGAGACTGGGTATTGGTTTTCAGGAGAACCAAACACACCCGTCCCTGCCTCTTGCGAGACGAGAGAGACCCTGGTATGCAGGATAATCCTGTGTGGCGCAACCACTCGACGACAGCCCTCTCCCTCGGTGAACCATTTGCCGGTGAAAAGAGGAGTCTCTTCGCTGAACGTCTTCTCTTGTTTTCATATGACTCAATGAGGATGTTTTTTAAGCTACTTTTTTGTGATTGTCTATGCCTAGAGATGTTGTTGTTGTCGCTTATGACATTTGTGTCTCTCGGCTGTGATAAAACTTAGAGGAATCACTACTGTATTAAGGAAGGAGGGAAGGAGGGATTTGAAACTCAGGTTACAAAGAAGATTTGACTACTACTACTACTACTACTACTACTACTACTACTACTACTACTACTACTACTACTACTACTACTACTACTACTACTACTACTACTACTACTACTACTACTACCACTACTACTACCACGGTGATATTATTCTTCCATCTCACAAAAATAGTGACAGTTTTTGGTGTGGTTGTGTTCTCTGAGCTGGATGGTTTGGTTGCGAAGCTTTCATTGCTCTACTGAGCAACATCTTCGGCGCATACTTCGATGTGAGCTTTTAGAATTCTCTATGAGTTTATTAGTCATCTGTTCTAGTAACCTTGAACGTGAACATGAAAACAAAATCCCATTTTTAAATGTCTTAATCAAATGAACAACTACAGGAAAATTAGAAACCCAAGTATACAGAAAACCAACGCACACGGATCAAATACTCAATTACAACAGTAGCAACCCAACATCACACAAAATTAGCTGCATACGTACATTGTTTAAGAGAGCCAGGACTCATTGCAGCACTGCCGCCTTGAGGAAAATTGAAGAAAATCATCTTATGGACGTCTTCCAAAGAAATGGATACCCACGAAACTTCATCAAAAGACATCTACCCCCAGCTCAACCAACCAAATCAAAGGCCACCAGCGAAAACACAAAGAAAGTCGTCCTACCATATATAAAAGATATCTCCGAAATCACTGCAAGACTATTCAAACCTTTTGGAATCGATGTCGCTCATAAACCAACAAAGTCACTACACTCAGTTCAATGTAAACCAAAGGACTCAACAGCAAAAGAAGACAAAACTAACGTCATCTACAAGATAAGTTGCAACGACTGCGACAAACATTACATTGGTCAAAGTGGACGCCCCCTTCGTCTTCGCATTCACGAACACAAACTAGCTGTCAAAAGACACGACATACACTCCCTCATATCACTACATGCAGACAACCACGGGCACCAATTCGACTGGGACAATGTTCAAATCTTAGACAAAGGGAACTGCAAAAATGCCAGAGAATTCCTAGAGGCCTGGTATTCCAATGAATCAGCAATCAATAGACACATAGAGATTGACAAAATATACCAATCCATACGAAGAAATTCACACAAAAACAAAGTCAAACTTCAGGTCAAGGAAACAGTCAACACCAAAACAAGTGAACTAGAAAGTGAGAAGTCACACAAAAACAACCAATCACGTTCAAGGTTAGCAGAAGGAATGACTAACGACATCCAGACCTAAGAAGCAGCCAGCACCGAGACAAGCAAACTAGGGGGTGAAATGTCACACGAAAACAACCAATCACGTTCAGGGTTACTAGAAGAGATGACTAATAAACTCATAGAGAATTCTAAAAGCTCACATCGAAGTATGCGCTGAAGATGTTGCTCAGTAGAGCAATGAAAGCTTCGCAACCAAACCATCCAGCTCAGAGAACACAACCACACCAAAATCATCCACCTGAGCTACAAACCTTCTCTATTATATCTATAGTGACAAAGTGAATCGTTGCTGGCAATATGGACACAAGTCAGTAGTGGTCTCCTTCAAATCACACTAAAATACCCATTGATTTAGTCATGATGAAAGTAACAGAGAAATTCAGCTAGCGAAGAAAATGCTTCTTTATCGACGAAATCATCTTCACAGACTGGCTTGGCTGTACAGTCGTATATTTATACTTATCAAAAAATATATATAGTGGTCTATTATTGAATAATAGGGGCGAGGGTGACATAATTGATATAATCACTCAGAAGTGGCTTTAGATGTAAAAGAAATTAAAAGTTGTAAATTACGTGGTACTCAACGCCAAAAAAGATAGAAATTTGATAAGGAAGGTTAAAATTGCTATTGAGTCAGTGAGAATAAAGGTGGTAGTTGAGTGTCAATTTAACAAGTGTGTCGAGAGGGTGTGAAAATGTACAACTGGGAGCATATCAGAGTGATATGACAGTGAATTAATTATTAAAGCAAATGCAAAAGAGACTGAGACAAGTCCCCATAGAGAATGGACATACGTCAAGATTTATTGAGAAAAACATGAAGTTAAGGGAGAAGCGTGAAAGAACCCAGACAGTGACGAAGGAACGGCTATTTATGAGCGTTGAATTTAAAGGTTGATTAATTCAAAATTCAAAAGTATCTGTGACCATCAGTGTACTTTGATCTGCATACAACTGTGTTAGTAGTGTAATGACAGAAGACAAGGGCCAGGCAACAGATCGTTTATTAAGGAAATCAACACATATTATTTATCGATTTTCATGGACATTATTATCATAGATTATTGTTAGCAGATAAACACAGTCTTCTGATTGGTGGTGGTTTCTCTTTGTGGCCGTTTCTTGAAAGTTAGATCATTTATCTATCTGCTAATTGTATCCGCCTACGCAAACAAAGTGTGCTGTGATTGGTTGTTGAATCAGTCAGTGTTTGTTCTTGTTTTCTTATGACTAATTTTGGGGATATAAACAATGGCGTAAATGACTGTCTATCAATTTCTGGATATCAGACAGCTCCCACCACAATTGTACATCACATTTAACGAATCTTTCAAGTATCTTTAAATTCTTAGGAAGGTGAAAATAACAATGAAGATGAATGACCAAACCAAATTACAGAGGTAATAGTGTGGTGAGAGCTGTCTGCTATCCAGGAATCGATAGACAGTAATTTACGCCATTGTTTACATCCCCAATATTAGTCATAAGAAAACAAGAACAAAAACTGACTGACTCAACCAACAACCAATCACATCACACTTTGTTTGCGTAGGCGGATACAATTAGCCGATAGATAGATGATCTGACCTTGAAGATATAGCCACAAAGAGAAACAACCAATCAGAAGACTGTATTTGTCTGCTAACAATAATCAATAATAATAATGTACATGAAAATCGATAAATATGTGTTAATCTCCTTAATAAACGATCTGTTGCCTGACTGGCCCTTGTCTTCTGTTGTTACACAATAAGCAGAGAATATCATACAGTACTGGCTTTATAATTGATTTCATCGTTTCGATAAAGAAAGGAAGACGAAATTTGCAGTATAAAATGATATCACTCTATTTCACAGGTTCTCATCAGCTTGCAGACTGCCTGAAATTACAATGGTTATATAAATGATAATAACATACTTTAATGTTTGATTAGTAGTAGAGAAGAGATAAAATTGACGCATCCAAAGAAGAAGAATGAAAGCATTACAATTTTTAGTTTAAGTTATCATCATCAATTTATACACTTTCAGAGTTGAAAAGAGGGGGGAGGGGTAAGACAGAAAACAGAAAACTTGATTAACAGAAACAGTGTTAGCTTGTAGGTTCACATGGCAACTCCAAAAAACAAAAGCATTTACAGTTTATAAGATTGAGATTTGCTAAGTGAGTTGAGATCACTGAATTAGATGACTAATCAAAATCAAAATTCAGTTACCAAGGGAGTGAGAGGTTAATCACACTCTTTCTGTATGCATAAGTCTGGTTTAAATCGTTTAATTGCTATCGCTTCGGCAAATCGTAGTAAATTTGCTGTCCTTTGTCTATTTAATATTTTGAAGGACTTAGAGATCTCTACGAGATGTCCGGTATCAACAATATGTCTGGTAATTGCATTCTGAGAATATTTGCTTCCTTTCAGGCATAAGTTTCTTGGAATATATTCAGAAACCGGATAGAAGCCCTTCTTTCTGTCTTCCAATGTACTTGCTCCCGCAAGTGCACGTAAATTCATAAACGCAGTTGGAGGTGACATCAGCAGGGTATTTATCCAGTTTTGAGTTGATCATGAAAGGAGTGGTGTTGTATACTGTTATGAGTTTTGCTGCCGGGAAGCTTCTATTTATTGCTCCTTTCAGTCTTCTGTCAATCTTTTGTGAAACTGCATCTCCTTTGAATGGGAGACAAATAAACACTTTTTTCTTTTCTACGGTTGGATGCTTTTCTTTCTTATCTTTTTCTCTGCTATACTTCTGTATAAATCCTTTAGGATATCCGTTTTCCCTCAGGCATTTCTCGACGAATTCTAGTTCTTCTTCGACCTTGTTTGGTGAACATAGCTTCCTGGCTCTGTCGTACAAAGTCCTCACTAATCCACGTTTATAGCTTATGGGACAAAAGCTGTTATAGTGAAGATATTGTCCAGTCCAGGTTTCTTTTCTATAGATGAACTTTTCAATCATGCCTTCGTTTGTTCTTTTTACATTTAGATCCAGGAAATTGAACTCATTTTTATGTTCATATTCCATGGTGAACTTGATATTTGGATGAATCTCATTTAGGCGAGCATATAATGCCGATGCGTGATCCATGTCGTTGCAAACAACAAATGTGTCATCAACATATCGGCGAGAGTAGGTTGTTCCATTGATAGCAGAACTTAGTTGTGTCTGTTCAAGGTAGCCCATGAAGATATCAGCCAGGAGAGGTCCCAGAGGTGAACCCATAGCGACTCCATCAATTTGTCGGTAGAGTTGGTTCTTGAATTTGAATTGTATATCTTTTGTGCAGAGCAGCAGTAGTCGCTTCATCTCTGTTTCCGGTAACGGTAGTAGATCCGTTTTTTTGCAAACGATATCAATCGTTTCCATCAGTGGTACGTTTGTGAACAAGGAGGTCACGTCATACGATACCATGAGTTTGTCTGCTATGTCAATGTTGTCGACTTCCTTGGAGAATTGGTAGCTATCCTTCAGGCTATGGGTTGCAAATTTGATTCGAATTGGCTCTATGGAATCAGCTAACCATCGAGCTAACTTGTGGCATGGTGAGTCAATCATTGACAAGATTGGTCTTAAAGGCACGTTTGCTTTATGGATTTTTGGTAGGCCGTACATAGACGGCAGGCGTCCACCTTTTGACTTCAGTTTATTGTATGTTTCGCTGTTGATTAGTTTCTTCATTAGAAGTTCTTTGAGACATTTATTTACTTTATTTTCAAACGACGTTGTGGCATCTTTTTTGTTGTCTACTTGGAATTTTTCTGTGTCGTTTAGAATTGTCATCATTTTATGAATATAATCAGCTTTGTTCATTATAACAACCCCAGAGCCTTTATCAGGTCTAAATATGACGATTTTATCGTTCTCATATAGTTTCTTCAGATCTATTCTATGCTCTTCGGTCAGCATCTTCTGCTTCTCCATTGGCGATATGTGGTATTGGTTAGCAATATCAACAAGTTTAGACTTTAGCCATCCTCTTTTATCTTCGTCTAAGGGTTTCAGGTCGTGGAGTTGATGGTATAAGTGTTCGAATTGTGCTTCTGTATCTATACGACTGATCTGCTTCTTGGGGACGTGAAACTTGAATCCTAGAGATAAGGCTTCTAATTCGATTTTCTTTAATTGTAATTTTGATAGATTGCAGACGTAGCGTTCAGGTGATTCTGGGAATTCTTCGATTAGCTTCTCCTTCACCAACACTTCTGTTAATCAAGTTTTCTGTTTTCTGTCTTACTCCTCCCCCCTCTTTTCAACTCTGAAAGTGTATAAATTGATGATGATAACTTAAACTAAAAATTGTAATGCTTTCATTCTTCTTCTTTGGATGCGTCAATTTTATCTCTTCTCTACTACTAATCAAACATTAAAGTATGTTATTATCATTTATATAACCATTGTAATTTCAGGCAGTCTGCAGTTAGCTGATGAGAACCTGTGAAATAGAGTGATATCATTTTATACTGCAAATTTCGTCTTCCTTTCTTTATCGAAATTTATCAAGGGAACCAGTTGTATGAAGATTTCATCGTTCTCACTCAAAAAATAAAAATAAATGAAAATTACTCAAAAAAAATAAATAAATAAAAGTAAGAATTAAGGGCAATATGGACACAGTAATTTTTGTTTGATTACTTATCCGATGATGAATACAACTCGATTTAATGAGGAGTGTCTGTGATGATTATGAATGACTAACAGCCGCCCACCGGGCAGGTTGGATTTCGATTCTCACCTGATGCACTCTTGAACACACACCTCTGGTTTTTTACTACTAGCCAGCTGTAAGACTTCAAAAAAAGAGCGAGGAGGGTTGCATATGAGCATATGCATAAAAGTAACACCACACTCCTACTGAAATTTTCGTAGCTTAAAACCGTCTGTTTCACTTCGGAACACGAATAGAAGATGCAAAAACACGTTACTCTCTACAAAGTAATGATGCCTGATGTGTAAGTTGCAAGGTGAAGAATCTATTTTGTTTATATTTATTTTTTTTTGATAATTCTAGTTCAACTTTCACTTGTCATAGTATTTGTATGATATAAAAACCAAAATGACAGAATTTTTTTACTTTTTTACTTTTCTCTTACCCCTTAAACTATTTTTGTTTTCACTCAGGCTGAGATATCAATGCCTACGGGGAACAGATTTAACCTGTCTTTGGGTTTCCGACCACTGTATTCCGCCTCCTCGCCCGCCTCCTCCTCTGATAATGATAATGGTGACGGTGATAATCGTAATGACAATAATGATGGTGATGCTGGTGCTGATGACCTCGGCGGTCGTCGTGGTGGTCGTGGCAGTGGTGCTTTCGACGACGAGGATGACGGTGACAGTGATGATGACCATATAACAACTAATGTTGACTTCAATCATCATATGATTGTCAGACAACATTTAGAAGAATTGTTGAATACGAGTAAATCGATACACGTGTTAGCTACTGTAAGTTTATGCTTTTCTTTCTTTCTCTCTTCCTTTTCTTTTTAACTGATTAAAAATGCCCATTAAAATTGTTTTCAAAAGAATCGATAGTTACTGAACAAAGAATATAATAAATATTCTTTTCGATAACCCCTTCATCATCATCATCAGGCTCTACAGTTATATATCCATCCATTATAGTGAATGGATGAATGAATTAGTGTTATGAACAACAACATGAATGTTGCTGTTTAAATAGCATCGAATTAGGGTGGCATTCAAACCTACAAACTCACTCAGAGACAAGCTCTGAAGGCTAAAAGACCCGGTGGACCCAATTAGACAAAATAATATAATTTACAAAATACCTTGTAATGACTGTGAGGTCAGCTATATAGGTTAAACTAGTAAATCAGATTGTCGGAGCATAAGAATTTAGCCAAGGCAAGAATGGTTGACCCCACGAAGAGAAGTAATTTAGAAAAAACCTCAGCAATTGCACTACATGCGTTAACACACAACCACACAATAGGGTGGGAAAGGGTTAAGATTCTAAGAAGTAATCTAGGTAGGTGGAGAGAGAGATTGATTACTGAATCCTGGTTCATCGAGTCTACACCCAACACAACACATGCAAGAGAAATGACTCAATACAAATACCAGAAATAGGGAAGATATTATTACCACCAGTTAAATCAGAAGAGGATAATAAATAATCTCAAAATTCTATTTCAATTAAGCACATCACAACATTCTAACAAAATACTTATTATAACTATAAGAACATTCGTCTTATTTCCCATCTGATTGTAATTGATCAGTAACACTCGTATTATTATTATTTCTGAATGTACGTTATCCTATATTACTGATTTGTATTCAAATATCTAATCATCAATTCCACTCATGTATATAAATGAAGGAAAAAGTTTTGTGAGTAACTTGATATGATTATGAGCAATAATTTGAGCTCGAAACGTCATCAGTTAATATTGCTGTATAACAGCACTGTGTGACAGTTTATCAAAATAAAATCTTATCCATAATGGAGTTACACTCTACCACAGTGCCTAAGTTTTATACTTATATCAATAATAATAATACCAGTGGATTACAGGTGAATAGCATCAACATAACAATGCACACTGAATGTCAGACAGAGAAATTAATAAAGATAATATTACAAATTCATGAATTTATAGTCTCCACCCACTGAAGGCCGGTCAGGGCAGTAGTAGTGGCTGGCTAGTTGGCTGGACTTGGTTCTTCTCCACACACACAGAGCACTGACTGGTTGTTTGAGGCGAATTGCAATAGCCTCTGGTATTTGGAGCGTTCAGTGCTTCAATGATGATTTGGGAATTTCTTAGGCACCCGGTAGATGATGATAGAGAAGGATTCTTCAATGCTGGCTGGTTGGCTTTGTGGCCGGCTAGTTTGCACAAGATGGTCCAATATCAAACTGTCGATGATTGTTTTCACTACACACCTTTACTTAGCTATAGTGGGAGATGTTCTCGAGTGCGTGAGCACCAAGAAGCAAGTTCTTAGAGCAAGCAACGGCCGATATAATTCGCTCCATCAGTCTGGGGTAAGTCACTTATTATACCAATATTCAAGAAGGGAGACAAGTCCTCATGTGATAATCATAGAGAGATCAGCCTGACGAACATAGTCTCTAAAATCCTAGTCTCACTAATCATGCACAGACCAAGCAGAACTCAGGAGGAACAAACGAGTGAAAATCAAGCGGGCTTTAGGCCAGGTAGAGGGTGCATAGATCATATCTTCACTCTCCGACAGATCCTAGAACATAGACACACTTTTAGGCGTCCAACAATTGCCATATTTCTTGACTTGAAGGCGGCCTTCGACTCCGTGGATCGAGAGGTACTGTGGCAATGTTTGACTGTGAAGGGAGTGCCAAGAAATTACATTGCACTAATCAAGGCACTCTACTCAAACTCACGTAGCCATGTAAGGGCTTATGGGAAATTGTGATCTGAATTGATAACAACCAGTGGTGTCCGTCAAGGATGTCCACTTTCCCCTTTTCTGTTTAACTTCATCATTGATATGCTAATGGAAATATCCTTAACTGAACTTAACGACCCAGGAATCAACCTGTTGCAAGGGAATAGTCTTATGAACTTAGAATACGCAGATGACACCGTCCTGTTAGGGGAGGATGCTGACAAAATCCACGAGTCTTCTGAACACCTTGAGCAGCAATCTTCGTATGTTTGGCATGCGATTCGCCCCTGTAAAATGTAAGATGCTGCTACAGGACTGGACTACGTCTACCCCTAGCTTACTGATAGGGAGTGAAGTGATAGAACATGTTGACCACTTCACCTATTTGGGAAGTTTTATCAGTACCAGCGTACTGATTGGCAACGAAATCTCAGTACGGATACAAAAAGCTCGAGCAGCTTTCGCTAACTTACGCCATCTCTCCCTTATGGGTAAATTTTATTTTGATAGAGTCTCACAGTGTTATACAGTAATATTTATTACTGTATATATTACTGTATAACACTGTGAGACTCTATCAAAATAAAATTTACCCATAATGGAATTACACTCTACCACAGTGCCCAAGTTTTATTCTTATATCAATTACGCCATCTCTGGCGTAGGCGTGACATCCGGCTATCAACCAAGGGACGTGTGTACTGCTCAGCAGTTCGCTCCGTCCTTCTCTATGGCTGTGAAACGTGGCCATTGAGAGCGAAAGACATGAAAAGATTGTCTGTTTTTGACTATAGATGTTTACGATCTCTTTCTCGCGTTAGGTGGTATAATAAGGTAAGTAATGTTGACGTTCGGCGTAGAGCGTTGGGCAAAGAGGGAAAATCAATCGAAGAGGCTATAGAGTTACATAGATTGAAATGGCTAGGTGACGTGCTGCGCACGCCTAACCATCGCCTCCCCCTCCCCACGGGCATTACCAGCTGATATAGGTGCAGGTTGGAAAAGAGTAAGTGGTGCCATGCCAAACAAAAACATGGCATCAATCAATCCATGAAATCCCTGACAGTTAATCTAAGTCAGGTAGGGAGATGCAGACTTCCGGGTTGTGACCCGCCCTCGGGACTCTAAGAATCAATGGCTGGAGACAGACAATAGGTGACATGGCTCAAAATCGTTGTCAATGGCTTACGCAGATGTATTCAATCTCTGTAATCTTTCATATTCCTTTCTACCATTACTCATTCTGTTTCACTCTTATACTTGTCAAAACTCTATTGATTCTCTTCACTCATTTCCTTGTCTACGTTTGTGTGCTATTTGGAACGTGGTAACTCAGACTGTTGCACTTCGGTGCCAAGTTCTATGTTGAATCCAGCCAGCAGCTCCATCACAAACACAGTTGCAGTTGAATTGGTAGATACAATTTAAAGTGGCCAGCTAGTCTAGGTACTTCATCTTTCAGTCGGTCGTGTAGAGAATAAGACGTGTAGTTCGCCGCCAGCATTAAAAGTTCTGAACTGATTTTCTTAATTTCTTCGTAATTATCTCACTTGGTATAACGATCGCCCTTGAATTGTAGTCGTATATAAAGTGGCTTCTTGTTTCCCTTTTTTTTTCAACCTTCACCTTACCTTTATTTATATGACGAATTTCAAGCTGAATTAACTAACTAACTCACTAACTATTTGCAACTTTAATGGATGGCATTTTGATGGAGACACGTGGATAGATAGATAGATGTATTGTGTGTGTGTGTGTTTGTGTTGTGCAGTTAATGTTTGATGCAACTACGATGATGTTTGTCTGGTGGTGGTGGTGGTGGTGAGATTGGTTGGTACTGAGGTAGGTGGTGGCGTGTTTGGCAGTGGATCGAGTGAGTGAGTGTTGGGTTGATTGGTGGGTGCAGCGACACAATGAGGCTGCATGAGAAGTGAACACCAATGAACTGGTGGATAATAGGCAAACAGAAGCGAGAAACCGTCTGGTGGTCAGGTGACTGACCTGACTGGCTGGCCAGCTTGCTAGGTGAGAGTTGTCTAGCTGGGGCATGCTTTATTACATAATAATAATAATCATACAACTTCATAATCCCCCCTTGTTATTTCATCATGCATTTATTCGCCTCTTGATGAATTTGAATAAAGTAAGAACTACAATAACAGTGTGGTTTGTGCAGAATAACAACAAGATGGTACCGTCATTTGTTGCATTTATTTCGTTGGCTTCTCATCAGCTCAGCTGAACTGCTGCTTACAGCCTGAATAAACAAATTATGAGGTTGATGTACTACAGAAAAGTGTTAACACACTGGCAAATGTTTTTCTTCATGGTGTGTCAGTTGACAGAGAGTTCCACAATTAGTGAACAGTGTGCTCAGAGAATTGCGCTTATTTAGTTTTGCTTACACAGGTAGTTCAAGTTTTCAAAAAAAAATAAATAAAATAAATGAAAGCATACAATGGTAAAAGGGTTAGTTACGTATTAAAGATGAGAGAGAGAGAGATGCGTAAGATGCAGAGTGTGACTAATAAATTAGGTAACAATGTACTAAGTTTTCAACTGCAACTCAAATCATAGAAACAAGAGAGACAAGCGAAATTACACATTAGAAAAGTGGGGGGGGGGTGAGGTCAAAGAACTTAGCCCTAAGTTTCTATCGTAATGAAAACTTAACCGATTGAGCCGATAAATACTATGCACTTTCTTCAACTTTAAATCCAAAACACCAGTATTCCTTGAACGAAATTATATTGTTTGGCAATTAAATTGAAGAAAACTACAAAGTCTACAAACAAATGTTAAGTACAAATGAAGTTATAAAGTACTTTTATTCGTATTTAACTCCAGTCTTCCTTCAACTTGCAAGCGATCGACCATTCGCGCCTTTCAGTTGCCCATTAATGGCTGCCAGACCCAATAAAACAAACGTTCAATGTTCACGTCCATTGACAGACTACGTAATCAAAATCAATGAAAGGCAGGCAAGGAAAGACTAAGAAAACTGCTTCTTTTTTAGCACAAATATAAATCTGCTTTCAAGCGTTTGG